CGACTTTTGCTAGTGGGTTTATAGGGGTCAATTTCCTCCTCTTGAGTCCTGGACGTGTGAACCCTGGTTATGGGGGAAACAGTCCACATTATCACACAGTGACTTGGAGCAAAGAAGCCTGCCCTGTCCTCTGATGTGCTTTACCAACAAGTCTAGAGTTGTTGGGGACTGCTAAAAACCTTGAACAAAATGGAGTCTGTCAGCCATTTCTTGGCCTTCTGCCTACGTGACTGCGGGCACACATGCCCTTGAGACAAAGGAAAAAGTTAACCACAAAAGTTAAATTTACACAGGGCAGCCCACCCGCCTAGCCAGGGGGAAGTAACCCTTATAGAACAATTGCCTTTGTTGGCAAAGGGTTAATGTGTTCCTTAGGATGCTTTTACCACAATGATAGGCGGAAGTAACCCTTATAGAGCAATTGTCTTTGTTAACAAAAGGTTAAAGTGTTCCTTTGAATACTTTCTACCCCTCCCTAATTCCTGCACCTGACTTACGCTAACAAGCATTTGCGGAATGCAACTGATGGAAAATTACAGCTTCGTCTTTACCTTATTTGGTGTATATTTGAGTTGAGACTTGATTGGCATGCTTATACCACCCCCTGAGATTCTCTTCCTATAAGAACCATCTAACCCCAAAAATAAACGCTCTTGATTAGCGAACGTTGTCTTGAGCCTGTTTCCTTTAACCTCTTGAAGTTTGCTTTTTAAGATCGGATCTGCTCGTGAAGACCCACCAAATTAGTAGCGACCCTCATCACCTCATCCCCGAGGGTCGGGGATCCCCTCCGGGGGTCGCATAGAGTGACCAATATTTCTCACTTGATCCATTCAGCATGACGCCATCAAGATAATGGGCCAGTGGGATACCTTGTGAGAGAGATGAACAATCAGGACCCTTCGGACTGAGTTATGACGCACGGCTGGCACTCGTAATATACCACTCTGTATCTTGCAAATCCTTGCTAGCAAGTCAGCAATATCATTTCTGATTCACTATTTTCCCCAGTAGAGGCTTCATACCTGAAAGGCATCACGGCCCTTCCCACCATCCTAACTCCTATTCCACAGGTCATAACAGGTCAGGGAACTAGTGTAGGGTTTCTGCCAAGTGCTAAGTATGCCTGTCCCAGTGATAGGTGCTGGGCTGAGGAAATGACCACAGAATAGGCTCAGTATGTGAATAAAACTCCGTAGATCCCTTGACCTTCATAAGCCTTTCTGTTGCTTTCTGTTGTTTTTGACAGAGTCTCACTATGTAATTCTGGCTGTCCTGAACTCACTATATAGACCAGGCTGGCTTTGAACTCATAGAGATCAACCTGTCTTTGCCTCTGAGTGTTAGGATTAAAGGTGTGAAGTGCCACCCCCAACCTAACCTCCTACTTTGACTGGAAGGAGTCAGTACTGTTTAGGATCTTCCAGAGCAATGTCAACTCAGAGCCAGGTCTACTGGGACCCAAAAGGTCTTTTTTTTTCTTTTCTCTAATGCACAGTTTCTTTGTAAAAGAAAGATTAACAGTGGGGCTGGAGAGACGGCTCAGAGGTTAAGAGCACTGGCTGCTCCTCCAGAGGTTCTGAGTTCAATTCCCAGCAACCACATGGTGGCTCACAACCATCTGTAATGACATCTGGTGCCCTCTTCTGATTATAAGCATATATGCAGGCAAAATACTGTTTACTAAATAAATAAATCTTTTTTTTTTTTTTGGTTTTTCGAGACAGGGTTTCTCTGTAGCTTTGGAGGCTGTCCTGGAACTCGCTCTGTAGACCAACTAAATAAATAAATCTTTAAAAAAAAGAAAAGAAAGATTAACAGCAAAAGCCTTCAGTGCTGTAGCAAGGTCTGTCCTCAATGGGACATGGCCTCCCCTTCCTCCAAGGAGGTCACAGTCTGTAGGCAGTCTCGAGTCAAGAAATTGTTTGAGAGGCTGGGCCTTTTTTACTTTATTGTTTATTGTTCAATGTAGCCTTTCATTTGTTTGCCCTGGTATTTTCTGCTTATAAAAATCAAGAAAGGGGCTGGAGAGATGGCTCAGAGGTTAAGAGCACTGCATGTTCTTCCAGAGGTCCTGAGTTCAATTCCCAGCAACCACATGGGGGCTTACAACCATCTATAATGAGGTCTGATGCCTTCTCCTGGGATACAAGCATGTACACAGATAAACTGTATGCATAATAAATAAATAATTTTTAAAAAGATCAAGAAGGAACTTATTTCCCTTTGGAGAACAGCACGATTAGTTAACTCACTCCCCAGGTCTGCAAGACAGAGACCATTACGGCCATTGCTTTGCCCTGCTCTACATTAGGCAAGTATTCTCACCCTGCCTTTGGCAATTTGGTGCTGTCACTTGACCCTTGCCACTCCAGGTTCAATTAGACTCATTGCGTTTATCTTGTCCGACTGAGCAGCAGCAGCTCCCACGGGAGGGTGAAGAAGAGCAATGCTTGAGTTCTTCAGGTATACACCTGTCAAATCTGTCTCTTTAATTTTGTTTTACACACTTAGGGGCTGGAGAGATAGCACAGTGACTAAGAAAGGTTGTTGCTCTTACAGAGCACATTTCTATTCCCAACCCCTGTAATTCTGCCTCCTAGGAATCTAACTTCCTCTCCTGGCCTTCACAGACACACATAGGAGTACACACACACACAGGAGCACACACACACAGGAGCTCACACACACACAGGAGCTCACATACACACACACAGGAGCTCGTACACACACAGGAGCTCACACACACACACAGGAGCTCACACACACACACAGGAGCTCTCTCACACACACAGGAGCTCACATACACACAGGAGCTCACACACACAGGAGCTCACACACACACAGGAGCTCACACACACACACACACACACAGGAGCTCACACACACAGGAGCTCACATATACACACAGGAGCTCACACACACACAGGAGCACACACACAGGAGCTCACATACACACAGGAGCTCACACTGACACACAGGAGCTCACACACACACAGGAGCTCACACACACACAAGAGCTCACACACACACACAGGAGCTCACACACACAGGAGCTCACATACACACAGGAGCTCACATACACACAGGAGCTCACACACACACAGGAGCTCACACACACACAGGAGCTCACACTCACACACAGGAGCACTCTTACACACACACACAGGAGCTCACACACACACAGGAGCTCACACACACACAGGAGCTCACACACACACAGGAGCGCTCTTACACACACACACAGGAGCTCACGCACACACAGGAGCTCACATACACACAGGAGCTCACACACACACACAGGAGCTCACACTCACACACAAGAGCTCACACACACACAAGAGCTCACACACACAGGAGCTCACACGCACACACAGGAGCTCACACACACACACAGAGTGCTCTTACACACACACACACAGGAGCTCACACACACACAGGAGCTCACACACACACACAAGAGCTCACACACACACAGGAGCTCACACACACACACACAGGAGCTCTCTTACACAGACACACAGGAGCTCACACACACAGGAGCTCACACACACGCACAGGAGGTCTCACACACACACAAGAGCTCACACACACACAGGAGCTCACACACACACACACAGGAGCTCACACACACAGCAAGTAAGAATAAAGTGCTATTCACTTATTGTGTGCGTGTGGAAGTAGGAGAACTTGCAGGAGTCAGTTTTCTCCACCCATCTGTGGGTTCTGAGTAATCAAACTCAGGTGGTCTCCTTGTCAGCAAACAGCCTTATCCACTGGGCAATCTTGCCAGCCCTGTTTCTTACAGTATTATTAAAGGATACATCTTCTGGGACCTCCGATTAGGAAGAGTAGGTTTACTTCAGCATTTCAAGTTCCTTGAGCCTTTGGATTTTTCGTCAACATTAGGTCAAAGGACATCAGACATCTTCATCTCATTCTCAGGAAGTTATCTTTTGACTATGTTAGCAACCACTCAAGAAAACTATTGGTACCTTTTCTACTGCAACATAAACCTAGAATCTGTGCTTAATTGACCCATATTGATAAACTCAGCTTGATATGATCCCCTCCTTGGGTTTTTTTTTTCAAGACATGGATTCTCTCTGTTACAGCTCTAGTTGTCCTGGAACTCACTTTGTGGACCAGGCTGGCCTTGAACTCACAGAAATCTGCCTCCCTCTGCCTCCAAGTGCTGGGATTAAAGGCATGCACCACCATCCGACTCTGATTTTTTTCTTCTTTTTAGACTTTTAATTTATTATGTATACAGTGTTCTTCCTGCATGTGTCCCTACACACCAGAAGAGGGCACCAGATCTCACTAAGGATGGCTGTGAGCCACCGTGTGGTTGCTGGGAATTGAACTCAGGTCCTCTGGAAGAGCAGGCAGTGCTTTTAACCTCTGAGCCATCACTCCACATCCTGACTTTGTTTCTTACACCCTTATCCCACACCTTTAAAGTCTATTCCTGAATCATACAGATCCCCCAGGTCTATGCACACATGAATTTAAAAGCTCATGGTGTTCTCTGGAATCACAGCACACCTCCCCAGGAGTCACTCCGTACCTCACCTCCATGGGCTTGCCGGGACTGGAGGCAAAAATGGGCGGTGAAAGTGAGTCCTAAGGGACAGTAGGATGTCTCACTTGTCCTTCAGGAAAGGCCACTGCTGTTTTCATAGACAGTGCAGGATTAGTTCCCTAAGACAGTGATGGAGACACTATAAACCATCGGAATCGGGGAGTTCAGGGTCCTTAGCCCCACTGGGGTCTTTCCATCTCCATCCTAAGCTGCAGCATCCCACTCCTCTCCAGTCAGTGTCTCCTGTCAACCTCGGAAGCCTGTGGAGGCTGGGACTTAAATGTGCGCTGTCAATCAGCCAGTCACATGGTGGGACTTGGAGCTTCTGTCTGCTGGAGAGACCATCAGGACACGCCCCAGGCCTTTGGAGTGTTTGTGCACATCTGCAGCTGGAAACTAGAACTCTTAGGTCATTCTTTTCCTTTGTCACTTTGTTACTTCATCTAGAGAGTCTCTAAGCCAGCTACCAGCATCATGATGTTCCTTGGTTTACAAAAATGTTCCAAAGCATTGTTATAGAGTTGCCAAATTCTTTTTTTTCTTTTCTTTTCTTTTTTTTTTTTGGTTTTTACAAGACAGGATTTCTCTGTATTGTTTTGGAGGCTATCGGTCCAGCCCAGCCTCGAACTCACAGAGATCCGCCTGCCTCTGCCTCCCGAGTGCTGGGATTAAAGGCGCCACCAATGCCCGGTGTTGCCAAATTCTTTACCTCTCACAAATGGTAAATGGTGAATTGGGATTTTTGTTTGTTTGTTTTTCTTCCTTTTTTTTTTTTTGAGACAAGATTTCTCTGTGTAGCCCTGGCTGTTCTGGAACTCCCTTTGTAGACCAGGCTGGCCTCAAACTCAGAGATCCACCTGCCTCTGCTTCCCAGGTGCTGGGATTAAAGGAGTGTGCCACCACCTGGCTTGAATCAGGACTCTTAAATGTTCTTATATTTTATGTGTGTATAATTTATTTTTATTTTACATTCATTGATGTTTTGCCTACATGTGTGTCTGTGTGAGGGTGTCAGAAGCCCTGGAACTGGAGTTACAGACAGTTGTGAGCTGCCATGTGTGTGTGCTGGGAATTGAATCCAGGTCCTCTGGAAGAGCAGTCAGTGCTCTTAACCACTAAGCCATCTTTCCAACCCCATTTTTGTGTATTTCTTTAGACAGTGAAATAACTTTAGTTGTAGTGAAATTAGAGAGTCAGTTTGAGAAACATCAAGGCCATTAAAGACATACAATCTTACAGTTTCTATAGAACCGCTCCCGGTATCAAGCCCTGTTATTATTTAGGATTCTCTAGAGCAACATAACAAAAAAATGCAAACATATAATACAAATATATAAAGCAAAAATATATAATCTGGGTAGTCGAACAATATCTGTTGAGATCTGTGCTCCATTCTGTATTTAGTATAAGTAGTGATTTTCAGGCCATGCCTTGCCCTGAAGAGACTCCATGTTACAAGAAACATTTGGTTGTTTTAAGTGAACACAGACATGACTCTGAACCTTGTTGGACACAAACAACTTCTGCCTTTCCCACAAGACACAGACTGATAAGTACTTTCTTCCTAAAAGTATAAAGGGTGGTATAAAGCTTTCAAAATCAATTGGGGCCATATGGTCACACAGGCATGTTAAAATCATACCAGGGAACCAGACCCATAAGAACTTATCAGCCATACCAGACTCAAGACCCTGAGGCACACTCACCTGGACCCCATTACGTGGGAGACACCTGACACTGATGGCAACAGTTCCCAACAACCTGTCATCTGACTACCAAGTGTGTTTGTCAAAGGACTGACTGACAGAGGCCACGACTGCAGACGCTACAGCTGCTCTTAGTCCCCACTGCCCATCCGTCCGTCCGCCTGTTTACCCTGTCTGTTTGTCTGGCTATAGTCCTGTGCCCTGCGCGGGCATCTCCACTTGACCCTGAAGCTCTGCCCAGTCGTGACGCTGTGGCTTGGCTCCACTGTGACCAGCTGGTTCACAGTGCAGTGATGCTCTCAGCATCTTGGTCACTTCGTACTTCTGAGTCTCAGTGAGGTCCCTTTGACCTCCTTGGACTCTGCTGTGGCCCGGGAACCAGAGAACGCAGTATCTTCTCGGTGCACAGCACTGAAAAGCCTCCGTCCACAGTTCTGGTCAGTGCTGAAGGTCTGAATTCTCCCTGGAGTGTCACTGGTTTGGTGTCCAAAAGCAGAAAATGCTGATGTCCAATGCCCTCCAGGGATGGCAACAGTGACAGATACACTCACATTCTCTAGCTTCTTCTCCCTCCACGCTTTTTTCCTCCTGAGCCCCAGGTCCTTTGGATGGTGCCACTCAGTCAGGATGGGTCCCCCGCCACCTGCTACATATTAAGTCTTCTCTGGAAAATGTCCCCTAGACACCCAGAGGTGAATGTCCCCATTCCTAGATACCTCTCCATCCAATCAACTTAACAACCAAGACCAAGTATCATGCATTATACATCACTGGCTGCCCTGGGCTTCCAGGCCCCGAGTAACTCTCTAGCTCAGTGTCCACACAAGCTGCTCGTTACCGCTTTTATTTCAAAGGGTAGTGAGGCACTCCCATCCCAGCGCTGCTGGTGGGCCTGTGGTGTTATCTCTAGCCCCAACGTGACCGGCAGCAGCATCTGTGCAGTCACCGCGGTGTACCCGCCTCTGCTTAGCTTTGGGTTATGGAGACACAGTGAGGGCAGCCTCGCTTTGGGGAAGGACGCACAGGTTGGATCCCAATGGGAAAAGAGCTGCAAGACTGGGTGGTTCCTGTCCTGCTTTGGTCACTTAGAAAGTGTATGACTTTTTTTTTTTTTTTTTTGGTGGCACATTTTCATTCCTGATAAGTAGGACAGAGTAACAGGCGGTACATGGGAATGGAGTTACAGAACTAATAATCCCCCAGCACCACGACAGGGGCCTAGCAATTTGGGCTGTCTCCATCTGCAGGATTATTCTTAGTGAGGATTTAAGCTGAACAGATGGTTGTGCTTGTCTAAAGTTGCTTCTGGAATATTCTGACCTTTTCTTCCCCTAAGACAAAGTACGAGCAAGAGCACACTGTGGTGGCATTGTGTTTGGGAGGCTGCTCTGTGAGAGTGGGTGCCTGTGGACAACCCTAACCATCACTGGAGGCTGGGGGTTGAGATGCCCCATGGAAGGCTTTTTATTTCTGTCTCCCATATCACAGATGAGGTCAATTATGCCTGTACACTCACCATAGGAGGGTCAAATGCCACATATCCAACCTGGATCTTACCACCTGCCTGTGGACAGAGGCAGCCAGGTGCCCTCTGCAGGTGGACAGACCGGGTGAAAGCAGTGGTTGTGAGTGGTGAGCCCAGGTGGTGGATACTGAGGGTCCCACAGGGCTTGGTGCCAACGGGAGCTGACTGGTGCTACCCAGCAGAATACTGGAGTCTCCTGAGAGCTCTGCACTTGCAGGGGTCTTGACTAAAGAGCTACCCATGAGCCCCTGACTTCACGGAGAACTTGTAGCCTGCGTTGTATACTGCCACGCAGGAGCTCATGTGGCTTTGTGACTTTCACTATAGGAACTGAGAGGCCTGGCAGGAGTGGCGCACACCTTTAATCCAGCACTTGAGAGGCATAGGCACAAGGATCTTTGTGAGTTCAAGGCCAGCCTGGTGTACAGAATGAGTTCCAGGGCAGTCAGGGCTACATGTAGAAACCCTGGGGAGGGAGAGAGAGTGTGTGTGTGTGTGTGTGTGAGGAGAGAGAGAGAGAGAGTGTGTGTGTGTGTGTGTGTGTGTGTGAGGAGAGAGAGAGAGAGAGAGAGTGTGTGTGTGTGTGTGTGAGGAGAGAGAGAGAGAGAGTGTGTGTGTGTTTGTGTAATCTCACAAACCAGACAAAAGCTCTCAGAGTTCCTCATTTCTTTATACCTGTTTCCCAAGGAGCCGCACTGGGGCTCTGTGGTGCTTTTGTTTTGACTATCCTCCATCCCCCATCCCCCTCTCTAGCAGTCCCTCTCCACATTGTCTATTCAGTCTTTTCACTCCTCAAAGCCTGGCAAGCACACTGCTGGGAGGTATTATGGAACCCAGTAGTTGTGGGGGACTCTGGCTCTGAGTGTCTGTCTCGGTCAGTGTTCTATTGCTGCGAAGAGACCCCGTGACCACAGCAACTCTTACAAAGGAAAACGTTGAACTGGGGCTGGCTTATGGTTTCAGAAGTTTAGTCCACTATCATCGTGGCAGGGAGCGTGGCGGCAAGCACGCAGTCTTGGTGCTGGGGAAGGAGCTGAGTTCCACATCTGGATCTGAAGGCAGCAGGCGGAGAGAGACACTAGGACTGGCTTTTGCCTTTGAAACCCCAGAGCCCACCCCAAGTGACACACTTCCTCCAACAAGACCACACCTACTCTAACAAAGCCACACCTCTCAATCTCTTCCAAGTAGTGCCACTTCCTGAAGACTAAGCATTCAAACATAATAGCCTATGGGGGCCATTCTTTTTTAAACCAACTCAGTGGCTTATGGACTTTAGGAGGGGCAGACCAAGGCTGTCTCTTCCATTTCACTCTTCAGTGGTTCCTGGAGTGTCACCAGCAACTGTGACAGAGCTTTTGGAAGTCACTGTAGCATCTTAGGGGAGGGACAGAGCTGGTTGCAGTATGGGCAAAGCTTTGTCCTCTTGGGAGTTTAGGAGGGGGTTTGGGTGGGACAGGGGATCCCTCCAGCCCTTCTGCAGGGAGACAAGCCTGTGTGGTCATGGAGCCTGTCAGTTCACAGCATTACCTCTCTGTTCCCACATTGTGGGAACAGTGTGGCAGGGCCTGCTGGTCTCTGAAGAACATCATGGTGACCTCAAGACAATGGCCAATGACCCCTGAAAGGTTTTATATCCCCATCTTATCTGAGTAAAATGGTGTTGTTCTGCCTCAACTTCTCCTTCTGAGTCAAGCAAGAGGGAAAGACTTGGGTTAGAATTTGTATCTGTACTCAGGATATGGGCTGATTTCTGAGTGTGTCAAACATGGAGATGATGTCCCTCCCCTAACATTCAGCAGGACTGTGATTTAACTCTAAGAACTGTATAAAAGTGGACCTTTTCAATTATAAACAAACAGCATGACTGGGCATTGCTGACTCAACATTCTTTCCAGGCTTGCCTGGTCTACATTGAGAGTTAGCTCCAGGCCTGTATAGTAAGACTGTCAAAAAAAAAATTCAAAGAAAAAAGAAAGCAAAGAAAGAGAAATGGTGCCAGGCGTTGGTGGTACACGCCTTTAATCCCAGCACTCGGGAGCCAGAGGCAGGAGGATCTCTGTGAGTTCGAGGCCAGTCTGGTCTACAGATCGAGTTCCAGGACAGCCTCCAAAGCAATACAGAGAAACCTTATCTTGAAAAAAAAAAGAAAGAAAGAAAGAAAGAAAGAGAAAAGGTATGTAT